ACCTTCTGTTTGGCCCAACCAACACTGCTCACTGCATCCCTGATTAGCTGTTATAAAAACCTTTGCTGTTATTGTTGTTTTTCAGGGCAGCAGCAGGCGGAACCAGCCGTACCGAGAGGCGAGATGCACATAGATGCCTCATTAAGGTGCAATCAAGCAGAGAGACAGAGGACTTCTGTGGAGCGAGGCCAGCGCTCCACTCGCCAACACAGGGACCCCTTTCTACACCCCGCACCCCACTTCACCTCTTTATCGCACGACAAGCGCACACAAAACAAACCTATAATATCCGGTTGCATCTCAAGGGATGGAGGAGGAGGGAGTAAGGTATCCAAACATCTGCGGCGTGGGCATGTGTGTGTGTGTGCGGAGACATCAGAGGAAAATCGAAGCCTGTCGATGTGAGGACAGGCGGCTTTCAGCGCTKCATCCCTCAGCATCAATTAGCAGGTTGTGTTGTGACTGGCCCCTGTTAGAGGTGAAGTGGACGGACTAAGAGAGGTAAACACATCTTATCCCCAGGGCTGGCTGGATCAGGAGGAGGCCAACAGTGTGCCACTGCCTGAGCCACAATAGCCTGCCTGTGCCGAGGCACTAACATGCTTTAGCAGTCATTTCCTACTTTCTCCTCCAATTTCCTTGCCTTTGGTTCGCATGTGGCTCTGACAGTGGAGGCTTCACCTGGCTGCATAAGTAACCTTTTTTTATTCCCACCTGTGTGTGTTTGAGAAAACCAGTGTTTGGGGTCATTTTAGCCTGTTGGTGAAAGCACAAAAAAGTTCACTGGGTGCAACCAAAAGCTATAATTTGTGTCCTGGTATCTCCTCAAACCACAGAAACATTTATTCTGGTCACAGTGATTCTTCTGTCTTCTTCTTCTTTTTTACTGACCAAACAGAACAATTTGTGTAAAGTGAAAACAAGCACAGTAGGTTTCAATTCTGTTTGAATTAAGGATTGTGTATTCGCATCATCAACACTTTTTTTCCCTCTCGAAACAATGTAACAAGACAGACTTCGAGCTCATTTAAAACTACCAGCTCTAAAGCGAGACGAAAGCCACCCTTATAAAMTGAAGAACAAAAGACAGTGGTTCTTGTAACATTCACTCTTTACACCACCCAAAAAAAGAACAAAAAAAAGGGAAAAGATGATGAAAAAAAGTGCCTGTGAGAAAATGTTAAATTTTTGTCTTTCACAATGCTTCAGTTTACACGAGTTTAATGTCTGAGCTACAGCTTATAATATATTTTTGTTAAAAACAGACAAACACCCAGTCTTACTTGTATACACAGCCATCTGTGAGGGATATAAACTGTTGGTTACAGCGTCTGGGCTGATTGTGAGGATTAACACTTTAATGACCGATCATATAAAGTAAAAAACCTTCATCTTTCAGCTGCTGCCTACATCACACCTTACCCTTCTCTGCCACACCAATCCTCTTCAGATCATCTTTCACTACATCCATGAATGGTTTCTGTTGTCTCCCTTTGTTCCTCCTCTCTGCCATCTCWGTATTCAACATCCTTTGTCCAATATAGCTACTGTCCTTTTTCTGCACATGTCCAAACCATCTCAGCTTCTTTAACTTTGTCTCCAAACTGCTTAACCTGATCTGAGCTGTCCCTCTGATACACTAACCATATCCATTTCGGACCTTCCCAATGAACAAGAGGACATATCATGCAAAAAGCCCTTTTTTAGCCATTAAATGCATTTTATTGTTGTGTACTTGGAGTCTCCAGGAGTGCATATTTTTTTCAATTAATTCTGTTTTCTCTATTCCCAAATCTGTAGTTCTACTGGTTTGTGGTCTTCATTCTCCGCTGGTACTGGGTCTGACTCTGGCTCCAACATGTAAAGCTGGATGTTCAAGCCTTTCCTTGTGGACATCTTTTAATCAATTTTTGAATAAAAGGTTTCTGCACCACTAGATAATTGTACCTCTGATATCAAACTACAAGAATGCCATGGTCTAACCTCTGTAGCATGAAAGCCTGTGAGGCATTTAGCCAGAGGAGCATCTTCAGTTTTCTGATGCCTCCAAACAGCCGGCAATGCCTTGGGATTGCCGACAGTTGTTTTTTTTTTCTTTTTACACTATATAAATTTTAATGTAAACTTCTGTAAACAGGGGTTGTTATATCGTTATTTTAGTTTAAAATGGTATCCAACAAATTTATAACAATATTTTCTGAGACAATTTATTGTCCAGTAAAATTTGTCACTGTGACAGGCCTAGTAAGACCATTTGCATTTAAAAAGACAGCACCAAAACGAGTTGTTCTCAGACACACCTCAGAAACGGGGTGAAAGAGGGGCTTGTGGAGTTACAATAAGGTGGAATTCAGACCAAAGCATTGCAGTTCACCAGAATGATTTAAATTTGAAAAGGATCGATTTAAAAGCATACGTCCCTTTTAAYATTTTTATCTTTGTCCCTTGCAGCTCTACCTCTTATCTATTTATCTCAMTACCATCTCCTGAACCTTGGTTCAGGTTCACGTACCTTGGTACGTACATAAACCTGTTGTCCTTCCAAYACCTCCACACCTTGCAGCTTCACTGTTTCACCGTTCTACATCTCATTCAGACACATTARTTCTGTTTTCCTTCTACTAATTTTCATTCCTCTCCTCCAGACCATRGATCCACCTCTTTAGGCTCTCTTCCACCTGCTCACTGCAGATTKCAGTGTCTCTGGACATCATAGTCCATGGAAACGTCTGCAAGTTCATCACTCAGCAAATCAAACAATTGATCTATTATGACTTTCATCTCATTAACAAAGTGTGAAGTTGAGAGAGGTCACAAAGAAATTACATTTTGGTCAAGCACTTCCAGCTCTCCCCGTGTTAACATTTGTATCATTAACTTTTTTTTCTTTTTGACCCTCTGTTAACACTGCCAGGACTGATGTGATGATTAGAACCTTTAAAGCAAAGTGTTGAAACAACTCTGACCCCAATCCAGGCCACATGACCTGTTTGCGAAATAATGTCATTCTCAGAAGATTTTTAGCAGCGATACCACAGAAAACAGTCAGTTGTGTTCAGAAACAAAGCATTTTTGTAAGTGAATGGAAAAACACAGAATTGCTACATTTTGCAGTTCCTAATGAAACAAACTGAAAGCCAACAAAAACATATCACTGCTGCATAAATCAAGTTATTTTTAGAYATCAACTATGAATTCAAGAGCAAACAAACCAGAAGAGAAGATAATTTACCTGCTGACTAAACAAAAAAACAAAACAAAAAAACAATTCATTAAAACTGAAAGTACTTAAGAGGAAGTAATTGTAGACACAGTTTGGGTCATCAGCAAGAGGATAAACTGCAAGAAAAGATTAACTGTGTCAGTGCTACAGCCCAGTTAAATGACCATATTTCTAAAACATGAAAAATATAARCTAATGTAAAACCACCAGGAGTTAGGTTTTGTTTCAGTCATTCCTTAGTTCTAGCCTTTTTTTAACCTTTACACAACAAAACCTGTCTGTTTCTGCCTGAATGAATCTCTGATATGCAAACAGATTTAAATTTTGCATTCATGCACTAACAGTCTACWACTACACACACTTCTACACAGAAAAAAACAAGCACACACGTTGTGTGTTTTTCTAAGCCGTCATGAACAAACGGGTCAGTGTGAAGCCGGCATATCACCACAAAGAAAGTGACCTGTTTCAGCTCCACTATCACACCTATCAGCTCACACAAGACTGCAACCTTTATCAGCTGCCAACAGCTTTCATGGTGAACTATAGTCTGAACATATCCTGGGTGTGAATTTTTAATAGAACTGACAAGAAATTTACAAATAAACATGAATATTATATTGTATTATATTATATTATATTATATTGTATTATAT